CAGTATAACAACAACTTACACAGCATTTACATAAAAATAAATAAATTTAAAAAAATTTAAAAAAAAAAAAAAAAAGTAAAGTAAGGAAGACTCTTTCTCCCTGACAGCAAAGTCCGGGTCTAACTTCCCTGCACTGTCAGAGTGAGTCAGAGATAGAGGAGGAAATAACCCTTAGATAGAATTGCAATGACTGGATGAGCAGCTGAAGACCACTAGTTTCTGTAATATAAGCTTCTAATGAAAGACAACACCATCATTGATCCCCTGTGCCCACCTGAGAAACACTGAGGATAAGAAATGTTCAATAGCTTACGTAAAAGAATTGAACAATAAAAACCATATCAGGATTCCAAGCTGGGATACTGACATAGCCAGAAGAGCACTATTGACCTCAGTCAGCAAATGGTGGAAAATTATTTGACTAATGAAGGTAAAATGATTATAACTGGGTAATCCTTTCACCTTCCTTAGACAAAAGAAACCTTTGCTATCAGTATCTGAGGGCTGTCAAAACTTTTGACACCTGGACACATGGGTCAGGAGAAAAGGAGATCGTCCCTGAGAGGTAGGGTCCTTCAGACAAACACTCTAGGGACACTGGCAAGGGTCTTGGAGGGTTAATTGTTTTGCTCACAAAGTAACCACTCCTCTCTCACCAAAAGAGTTCTGAAGTTATTAGGATGTTGTGAGACTGCTCCCTGGGAGTGAGTCGGGAAGAGTTTGGGTTGAGAGTACTTGTTACTCTAGAGGAAAAGGTATTACTAGATATGATAAATATCTTGTGAGTGAGGAGATGCTGGGAAAGTAAAATATCTGAGAATTAGAATCTCCACATCCATATGCACCTGTAAAGAATCAGGATTCCAGCTGTGATATTGACACAGACAGGGGAGCACTATTGTCCTCAGTAAGCAAATGATGGAAAGAAAAGGCAATGTATATTAATCCTCACCTGTGGTCCCAGTGAAGCGTAACCACATGGACCTGCATGAATGTTTTCTAGAAGGAAGAAAAAGATTAGAGAAGCTCATTCGCTAATCATCATCATCCTCTGTTGTGAATAAAACAGCAAACAAACCCGCGTTTTTGGCTCACATCTGTAATTCCAACTACTTGGGAGGCTGAGGCAGGAGGCCTCAGTTTCAGGCCAGAAGTTTGCAATCAGCCTGAACAACATAGTGGGACCTCATCTCTAACAACAACAACAACAACAAAAAATCAGCCAGACATGATGGTGCACACCTGTAGTCCCAGCTACTCAGGAGGCTGAGGCACGGAGATTGCTTGAGCCTAGGAGTTAAAGGCTGCAGTGACCTCTGATCATGCCACTACACTCCAACCTGGGTGACAGATTAAGACCTCATCTCTAATATCTCTAAAAAACAAACAAACAAACAACAGCAAAATCCTGTTCTTGGTTCTAAAGAGCTTATTTGCTGCAGATAATCTTGTATATCCTAAAGCAAATATAGAAACCCATAGGGCCTGACTTCCTATGTAAAGTAAGAAGGGTAAAAATGGAAGTTAAGAGTTAAAATTTTGTTTCTAGAACAGCGAAAAGGATTTTTTTCATATATATATGAACATATATTATATATACAATATATATTATATACACATATATACAAATACATATTATATACACATATATTATATATACATGTATTCCATATATAATGTGTATATATAAATATATAATATATAAAGTTAGTGTAGTGTGAGTGTATCTGATTATTTACATACATATAGTACATACACTTATGACTTTAGTACCAAAACATTTTTCATTTGATTAAGCATTCATTTGTACTGACACAGCTGAAGTTTACTCGAGTTTAGCTGAAGTCTAATGCAAAATTGATAGATTGTTGTCATCCTCTTAAAGTCATAGGGAGAATACACAAATGAAAACAAAAAAAGAAAGTGAAAGTACAGAGAAATTTTCAGAAAATGAAAACCATTTGTTTCCTATTAAAAGCCATGCATACAAGGAATGTCTTCAGAAAACCTCGGGTCCAAGGTTAAGCCATATCCAGCTCAGCAAAGCCAGCAGCACCCTCATTTCCCAATGGCCCTCCTCTTCCCTCTGCTGGCAGCCCTAGTGATGACCAGCTATAGTCCTGTTAGATCTCTGGGCTGTGATCTGCCTCAGAACCATGGCCTACTTAGCAGGGACACCTTGGTGCTTCTGCACCAAATGAGGAGAATCTCCCCTTTCTTGTGTCTCAAGGACAGAAGAGACTTCAGGTTCCCCCAGGAGATGGTAGAAGGGAGCCAGCTGCAGAAGACCCAGGTCATGTCTGTCCTCCATGAGATGCTACAGCAGGTCTTCAGCCTCTTCCACACAGAGCGTTCCTCTGCTGCCTGGAACACGACCCTCCTAGACCATCTCCACACTGGACTTCATCGGCAACTAGAACACCTGGAGACCTGCTTGGTGCAGGTAATGCGAGAAGGAGAATCTGCTGGGGCGATTCGGAGCCCTGCACTGACCTTGAGGAGGTACTTCCAGGGAATCCGTGTCTACCTGAAAGAGAAGAAATACAGCGACTGTGCCTGGGAAGTTGTCAGAATGGAAATCATGAAATCCTTGTTCTTATCAACAAACATGCAAGAAAGACTGAGAAGTAAAGATGGAGACCTGGGGTCATCTTGAAATGATTCTCATTGATTAATTTGCCATATAGCACTTGCACATGTGACTCTGGTCGTTTCAAAAGACTCTTATTTCTGCTTTAATCACAGAATTGATTGAATTAATTCTGTAAGTACTTTGTCAATATATTAAGCTAGTATATGTTAAAAAGACAGGTTCTGGGGCATCAGTCCCTAAAATGTTATTTATTTTTACTTATTTATTTATTCTTACATTTTATCATATTTATAATATTTACATTATTATATAACAAATGTTTGCCTTTACATTGTATTAAGATTACAAAACATATTCAGCTTTCCATTTGGTTAAATATTGTATTTTGTTATTTATTAAATTATTTTCAAACAAAACTTCTTGAAGTTATTTATTCTAAAACCAAAATTCAAGCACTAGTTTTCTGAACCAAATCAAGGAATGGATGGTAATATATACTTACCTATTCATTCATTCCATTTACATATGTATAACGTATCAAAGTGGCATATTTTGGAATTGATGTCAAGCAAAGCAGGTGTACTCACTGCATGACTCTATCAAAAGATCTCGTGCAACCAATAAATATATACACTTACTATGTACCCACAAAAATTTAAAAGGTTATTGTAAAAAAGAAATACAGGTGAATAAAGACAGTTTCTTTCTGTGTTGAATAGTTTCCATTCTTACAGGAAAAGAAACAGTAAAGCTGTACCAATTTCACCATATGAAACACTACAAAGACAAGGAAAAGAAAATGATGTTCTCATACTAGAAGCTTTAGGTGCAAATGATGATGAGAAAGAACAATACTAGATGTCCTTTCTAAGGTGCCTGGGAGACATGAAATTGCAGAAATCTTATTGACAGTTAGGAATATGGGTCTAGAGTGAACAACGAATGCCTTGGGCAAAGGAATACCTTTTAAGATTCTTAATTTAAGATTCTTTATTTAAGATTCTTTATTGCATGTCTGGTAACAAGGACATAGGAATGAATGTAGTCACTTATAAACAGAGGGGACAATGAGATGAGGACATAACCTTGTCCTGCAGACCCTCAGCATTCAAAGGTAGTGCAGAGAAGGAGAATATGTAAAGGAGGCTGAGGTAAAGTAGCCAGTGCAGTTAGAAAGAGAAATTGGAAAGAATGAGGGAGAGTCTAACGAGGGGAAGACAGTGGTGCTTTCAGGGAAGGTGAGGGCTGAACTGTCCTAGCGAACCTGGAAACAGACTCCGTTGATGACCTTAGAAGGATCTGGGTTAGTAGAATGAATGGGATAGAAACACAATTGGAGTAAGTTGAAGAGGAAATACAAAAAGAGAAATTAAGAACACTGTTTAGAAAATTATTTGGGGAAGTTTGTCAAGTGGAAAAAGGAAGTAAGGTGGCATCTAGAGAAGAATGTGGATTAAAGCCTCCTGTTTTTTTTTTTTTCATGTTTTTTGAAATATGTTTTTAAAGAACTGTTTTCAGAGGGCAGGCGCAGGGGCTCACGCCTGTAATCCCAGTGCTTTGGGAGGCCGCAGGTGGCGGATCGCGAGGTCGGGAGATCGGGGCGGTTCGCAAGGTAGGGAGATTCCGACCATCCTGGCCAACATGGTGAAACCTCGTCTCTACTTAAAAAAAAAAATGCAAAAATTAGCTGGGTGTGGTGGCGTGGTGGTCCCAGCTACTGGGGAGGCTGAGGCAGGAGAATCGCTTGAACCCAGGAGGCGGAGGTTGCAGTGAGCCAAGATGGCGCCACTGCACTCCAGCTGGCTACAGAGCGAGACTCCGTCTCAAAAAATAAAAATAATTATTTTCGGAGAATGAATACAAAACATGTGAACATTTGAATATTTGATTTAATTGCTTATTTGTTTGAATAAATAGTAATCTATCCGTGTTCTAATTAATATTACTTTGTAATAAGTTTCAAAATTACGTATTTGCTTGTTAATATTCTTTTTTTCCTATCAAATTTTACAATCAGATTTCATTTTATTCTGTTTTTTTATTTACTCTATATTTTATGTTGGTCATATACATTATTTGTTTATGATCTTATGATTTCTAATCACTGAGATGTACATTTCTCTATATTTTATGTCGGTCATATACATTAATTGTTTATGATCTTACGATTTCTAATCATTGAGATGTACATTTTCTAAAAATTGTAACCATATTCTTGTGATGGACACCTGTTTTTAACTTCACCTGTATTCAAAGATCTGGACAATTCCTTTTTTATTTAAATCATGGAATGTCTAGCATGGAAAACTAAGCCTCTCTCTAATTGTATTCTACTTTTGACTTGACATATATTTAGTTCCCTCTCGTGTAAATCTGTTTTTATATTCAATTCATTTTGATTTCTTTTTTGAAATTTACAATGAACACTTAATAATAATGGTTATGGGGTACAAAGTTATGTTTCCATGTATGTATGCATTGTAATGAGCAAATCAGGGTAAGTAGTACATCCATCACCTTAAATATTTATCGTTTCTTTGGGATGAGGACACTCAAAAACCTGGCCAGGTGCAGTGGCTCAGCCTGTAATCCCAGCAATTTTGGAGGCCGTGGTGGGAAGATTGCTTGAGCTCAGGAGTTCAAGACCAGCCTGGGCAACATAGTGAAACCCCACCTCTACAAAAAATAGAAAAATTAGCCAGGCATGGTGGTGCGCACCTGTAGTCCCAGCTACTCAGACGGCTGAGGTGGGAGGATTACTTGAGCCTAGGAGGTGGAGGTTGCAGTGAGCAGAGACTGCACCACTGCACTCCAGCCTGAGCAACAGAGACAGAATGTCTTAAAAACAAAACAAAATCTTTTAATTATTTTGAAATATATATTACTATTAACTCTATTCATCCTACTATTGTATAGTCCATCAGAATTTTTCAAATGTGTGATACAAATGGTAATATAAGTTGCTTTTTGTTAGAGTGTCAGGTAATATTCCTAGAATATTTCATTAAAATTTTCTTGTATTTTTTATTAACAACTGACACTGTAACAGTAAAACAGCAAAAGAACTGTAACATAACTAACTTCATTTTTATTTAAGAGGTTTTTGTCCATTCCTGCACATAGGCTGGGATAATTTCAGAGCATTGAGATAATGTGCAAAAACAGCCATCATGTAGTTTTTGAAACTAACTCTGAGATTAAAGGGGAAGTATGTAAGCAACTATGTTTTGTTAAAGATTTACAGGAGCATCATGACTTGATCAAGGACAAAGGTGTCCCCAACTTCCCAGGACCACTGCTGGCACCCAGTTGTCTGCAGTCCTTGGTCACCTGTTGATACCAATCCCCTCTGCTTCCCTATATTCCCCTCCATCCAGACTGAACAATTTAAGACGGTATTTTAAAATGCAAGTTTTGCTGGCTTTCCAAACAAACCTGCTTTTTCTCCCACCAATTCTCATCTCTCATGTTTGACTTTTTGAGTAGTGAGCAGCCAGATCTGGGTTTGGTAACAATATATCTTTACCATAAGTGTAATCACCACTGAGAGTAGAATGTTTTTGAGATTATTTGCCTTATAACTATAATTAGTAAACTTTCTTCATTGTTACACTTTTTTATTACTGATACTTTAAAACATTTAATTTTTCTGGTTAAGCTAGCTAAGGCTAGAAACCTACTCCCACCACTTGACATCAATTTACTTAAATAATTCAATTTACTCAATATTTCAATATATATCGCATTATCAAAAATTTTAATCCACCTCCTTGCAGGAAACAACTTTATTAACCAGAGTACAGTGTTTATGAACAGATTGTTTCGCTTTTAAACTTACAGATACCACTTATTTTCAAAATTACATAGGTCAGCAACTTTTACCTTATCCCCCTTCAGTGGGATCCTTTCCTACAACTATAATTCATTTTAAATTGTTTTGTTAAATTCTGCATTCATCTTAGAATCTCCCAACCTCTGAACCGATTTTTTAAATTTGGATACAGTAAGGTCCACTCCTCATGCTATAAAGTTTTATAGGCTTTTACAAAGGCACAGTGACATATATCCACCATTATAGGATCATACAGAATAGCTTCACTGCCTAAAGAAATGTACTTTCATCCATTCACCCCACACATGCTCTCTCCAAACTCTTGGCTACACTAAGCTTTTTACCATCATAATTTTGTTGCCTTTTCCAGAATGTCATACACTTGAATCATGTGTTCTTCTCAGGGTGGCTTCTTTCACTAAGCAGTATGCATTTAAAGTGTTTTTATGTCTTAATGGCTTCTTTTAATCATTTAATGATATTGTATTGCATGGGTATCATACCATTTTTATTATTTGACCTATTGATGGACATCTTGGTTGCTTTAAAGTTTAGGTAATTATTAATAAAGATAATGTAAACATTTATGAGCAAATTTTTTGGACATGTTTTCAAAGCAGTTGGGTAAATACTTAGGAGCCCAATTGTTGTTTCCTATGGTAAGACTGTTTAATTTTGTAAGAAACTGCTAGGATGTCTTCCAATGTGACTGGACATCTTGTATATCCACCAGTAATGAATATGTGTTCTTGTTGCTCTGCAATTGACAATAATTAGTATTGTCAGTTATTTTTTTTAATTTTAGCTATCCTTATATATGTATAATGACATATTTATTATTTTAATTTGCAATACCCTAATGACTTATCTGGGGCTTTTTTTTCCCCCATAAGAGCTACTCCATTCAGCATTTCAATAGCATTGACCTGAATGACATGGATGTGAACATACATGGCAACTTTGTTCACATTGACTTTCATGGTTTGAGTAGGGGTCTAAGGTGAGCCCTAGAAACATTGCATCTTAACCAGAAATTGCAAGATCTACCTGTAGGGCATGAGCTCTGGGTGTGCCCAAAGGAGATTTTATACATCTCTACTAAGGACATGAAGTTCATAGGAGTCCTTCAACCCTAAAGGGCCATACATTCACACTGTATTCTCACACTATGTATTTTTTTAAAGAACTCCTGGAAAAAGGGCACCAAAGTCACTTACCCAAAATGAGACTGAAAATGTCCTGCAGACATCTTTCTGTTCAAAGGGCACCCACATAGTTTGACAGGATAGCACCAATGTGTTCTACAGGGCCCTCATCAGTTGTAAGCATGTGGAGCCTGAGTCAGGTTGTGTGTGTCAGGAGAGAAAGAGGGAGATGTCTTGACTAAGTACAATGATG